ACTACGTTTAAATAGGTTGACTTGGGACATTTTTTTCGTGGTTTTTGTATTAGACCCGTCGTCCATTTATTTGTAAGTCAATGATTATTAATCACTATAAAGAGAAGAATAGAGATATTATGCGTTCATAACTAGTGTGATTCCAATTTTGAGTTCATATTTGCAAGAATATAGTAAAACGTTTCCACAGTCATTCTAGCCTTATAATTATCATAGAATTTGTCCGGATTTTGTATTTGGTCTGCGTAATTTTGACGAAATTTGCCATTTTGCTTTCTTCGTTTTTAGTACGGGTTCACGTCTTCTATTGCCCATAATAACTCGTAAAAGAATAAGAATAATAAGAATCGACGCGCGCACTTTCTCGACACGTTATTTCACCGCTGCAAACCGAGCGATCTGTTGTGGAGCCAGTTTCACCGCGCCGCCGCGCCGCCACTCGTCCAGTTTGCGGCCTTAGGCCGCGTCCGCACTACGAAGGCGACTGCGACGCGACGGCGATTTCGAGAAAACATACTCGTATAAACATATGTAGGTGGTTGCACTGCAGAAACGATAAGCGAAATTTATTTGTTCATATCGTAAAGATATTTCAAATGTTCTGCAAGTAATGAGGGTGTCCGCATTAAATAAAATTATTCAGCGACCCGCGACGACACTTGAATTTCGTACGACAAGCAGCGATGCGACACGGCGATTTGTCACGATTGCGACAAAATATGCGGTTCGCGCGAAAGTGCGCGACATATTCGAGCGAAGAGTTGCGAAGGAGACACCGCATGACGTAAACAAAATAGTTTTGATTTTGTCGATCAAATATACGGGTGCAGCCGCCACTGATCGCTTAAACTGCCCGGTGTGGCCACCCATTAAGTGACGTAGCGGCGGCGGCGTTTCGCTGGCTTCTCGCTTTTGCAATGCGGCCACCTATTTTTTCGCGCCGCCCCGCCGCGTCGCTATCGCCGTACCGCAAAGTCAAGGTTAAAGTCAAATAATCATGTGCACCCCTTTTGCATATCCCAAATTTCTACGCTAAGGTTGCCTGGAAGAAATTGCTACATAGCAATAAGGCGCCTGTTGCACATTATTTTACTATCTTTATACCTAAGTTACTTTATTGTATTTTAACTGTAATTTTATGTGCAATAAAGAATATTTATAGGTACATGTATGCGATTATTTATTATTGGCGATAATTCCTTAACAGCATTTGAATACACAACGTTATTGCTTGTACTGTGCTATTAATTAGATCGTGTTTATGAGACGCACTTTCCGTTAACCGATTTAAATAAAACTTGGAAAATAGATACAATTCCAGAAACTTTTCAGGTCGGTATTAACTACCTCCGTGGCCGAACGGTTACCATGACGGACTGCCATGCAGAGGTCCCAGGTTCGATTCCCGGGCCGGGAGAAATATTTGTATGGCCTACATTTATTTGTCTCGTGAGTTTGGGTGTAATTTGTAATTGTCTATGTGTGTGTCCATGGCACCCGCGACACAGGATTTCCCTAGTGCGGGGCTATGTCGAGTGTGTGCGTTATTATTACTATTAGTTAAAAAAATATAACCGATTTCATTTCATTCATTCATTTATTCCATAGATGAAATTTTTACACTTGAAAATGTCATTTTTTTAAGCTACTACTCATTCACTACGCTGACTTCCCTGAGAAGACCAAGCAAGAAACTCTAGGGATTGCTCTTTTCAAATAAACTTAAATGGTATAGAATACATTTTGAATCATATTTGTGTGGAATGACTCACGTTGTCTTTCCGTGCATCTTTATCTAACACGTAGTCTACAATTTTGTAATATGACTTTTCAATTAAAACACTTTTAATGTAAGTTTTAAACGTAGGAAATGGTAAACTTAATATATGCTCCGGAATCTTATTGTAAAAACGTATACAGTTCCCCATAAAAGAATCGTTTTACCTTAGTGAAACGAAAACGTTGGTCTTGGCATCTTCCCTAACACGGTGCCGAAGCGGCTACGAGCTGGTATATACAATCTCAGGGCGCGCGCACCCCAGCGCCCATATGTCCGGCTCGAAGCAGGCGCCTGCGACCAACTGTTAACGCAAAGAGCGTCTACGTACGTAGACACGTACTACGTACGTAGATGTAGTACATTTGATTTAAACTCCCTCGCGCCCACACCTGCGCCCGCCGCTACTCTGAATAAGGTCTTACAGCCGACCATAGACGACAATGACTACCTCCTATCAAGTAACTCGTCTGCTGGTTTGCCTCTTGAGGTACATTAAAAAAATCCTCCTACTCCTCAAAAGGCCTTATTGAGATAGGCGTGTAGGACAGTCATTCCATTCCCTGTCAGGTTAACGTTTGTGTACCCACTTATTTATTAACAACTTCCTTAGCAAATCACGCGACAGTCGTTGAACTGTAATTGGTGAATTCCTTGTTTATTTTTATAACTGTTTTCTCTCTTCTTAAAAGATATTATTGATGTTTTGCACAACTTAGTGGTTATATAAATTTTATGATTTCTAAATATGGCAATTCCTTAATAGCATTTGAATACACAACGTTATTGCTTGTACTGTGCTATTAATTAGATCGTGTTTATGAGACCCACTTTCCGTTAACCGATTACAATAAAACTTGGCAAATAGATACAATTCCTGAAACTTTTCAGGTCGGTATTTTTTATAAAAAAATATTTATGTAATAAAAAAGTAATTTCATTCAATGTGCATATTATCATTGTAGTAAAATATCATGTTATTTATGAAAATCAACGTTAAAAATATAATTATTTTATTTTCCGGGATCGTGTATGATATGTATTTTACCTTTGTGGATTACTTAAAATTTAGATAAATATACCAAAGCTTATTTCGATTTTTGATTAATTATTTGATGCACCAAGGGGTAGAGTTATTAACCAGCAACCCCTTAACTCAGTATTGCTATAATTAAAACAAATAACTTCAGTTCTGAAACTTTGTACCTTGAAGATGCGAAGTAGATATCGTTATATTAGATATCTTCGACTGAAAGTTTGGCGGTAAATTATTATAACTCACTGAATGGAAATCATATGCGTTTTTTATATTTATTACATCATAACGTGTCAGAAACTTTTTTTTCACCAATTACATATATGATATCAAAGTACATATCACATAACATATCACATCTGTTAAATTTAATAAAATAAAATATTCATAGTAATAAATGTTATGATATTCATAATATGGCACACGGAAGAGAAAAAACATAGGAAGTGCCTTAAGTCTCGGTTACTTCCAGAACCGCTGTGGCCAAAACGCACACAATTTTTTATCGACTTAAAAAAGGAGGAGGTTTGCAATTCGACTGGATATTTCTTTGTATATGTTACGCGATAGCTCCTGCATTTGTAAACCGATTTTGATGATACTGATTTTTGTGGGAAAGATGGTACCTCAGTATTGGTCTCATGATGATTTAGGGATGGATATATTTGATGGTAATGTTAAAATATTTCGCAATCGAATCCACAACCACCACGGTTTCTCTCTTTCATGCTTATATTTTATTAATAGTCATAGTAATTCTATTTTATTTAAGGTTACAGTTTTATTTATGCCTAAGTATTTTATATTAATTTACAAACAATTTATATTTCAAACAAAATTGTTTACTCATGATTGGTCATGCTGTATGTACATGTTTAGGTTTACATTCAAGATTAGAACTAGTAGTAATGTTTAAGCTTTGGTTAAGGAGTGAATGTAAACTGTTTTGTACATCTAATAAATAAATAAATAAATAAATTTAAATTTGAAGAAACTATTTCACCTCTAAATAGACAAACTAGAGGATGAATTCGGTTTCACGCATTTTTGGTAACGATGTCAATAAAACTCGGCAAATAGATGTAATTCCGCGAGCTTTTGAGGTCGACTTAAAAAAAAAACAGTTACGTGAAGTTAGTAATTTTGGACTGTTAATATAATTCGACGCTGGGAAGGTAAAACATCTGAGATGCATTTGGAAAATATTACAGGAAAGAGATTTACAGTTTTTTTTGAAGAAAAAAAAATCATCCACTGTTTTATTTTTTATAATGGTTATATGTAAAAATCGACATTTTCTAGTTTATTTCTAATTAGAAATATATCACGATAAACAATAAATTGTAAATTTATTAAAATTAAATGAAATGAGACTTAACGATGGTTTTGAAACACATCGAGTGTATAACCAGAAATAGAGGCGAAATAAGGGCCATTCACCCCTGGCAACGCATCAGGCAAATGGGCCTTATATCACTTTCAAATATCAACACTCGTTTGCTCTGAAATCATAAATTAGAAAGCTGAAATAGTACAGCACCATTAAGTGACCTGTGTGTACGTCTCCGTATATTCCAAAAATATTTTGTATTTATTATAATAAAGATGTATTCGGTGGTATGGGAAAAACTGCAATTCATCTAATTGCAAAACAAACGGAATCACGTAATTAACATTGCCGCGGTAATTAAATATTAAATATGTAATTTTTAAATTTTTGTCCATTATAGCAAAGTTCAAACTGGTCGATTTGAAGTGAAACAATTGACGACACCCGTCAATTGTTTTGAATTCGGGCTGGCCAATCGGAGTCACCGTAATGATTTGCCAGAATTGTTTTCAAACAAATTAAATGACATTTCGTCTGTATTTCTGGTTATATACTCGACAATGGAACACCACCAAGGATAATAATTATTATAGATGCGACTATTATTTTTACATTCGGAGAATCGAATCCAGCAAACTCACGTCTAACGCCCGCAGTTTTAACCATCAGGCCACCGAGGTTGTCAAGTTGTTAATGTAAAGTTACAATCGCTGCGTATCTGGCAGGAATAATAACACTAGATTTTTTTGTGTTACAGACGCGGGCGCAGGATATTCATGCTGCAAATGCTGATATTGTGTTTCGTCCCGCATATTGCTCTCGTCATTCAGAACTGTAGCGTCATGGCACAACTCTCACACACCCTCGACTCTGCGCTCTTTCTGAACAAGGAGGTATGCATTGTTTTATCAGGCTCATTACACAATGGTGTTCGTAAATATTTGCGAAAATATTTGAAGATGTAAACAATATATGGGCTACTCCGTACTTACCATACTTACCATAGTATAATAAGGCACGAAGTGCAACTATCATCTGTTCCGCGTGTTAATACCTAAACGTCAGCGTCACTCAGAGCATAGGGTTGTCACGCGAAGGTATATTGTTTTAGTTGTATTGTAAAAATAACTTGAAAAATTAATTATTTTATCACAGTATTATCGTGCGGTACTGAAATAACTTTTGTCAAATGCAGTAATTATATGCTGGTATTTTTGTAAGTAATATCGCGGACTAGTATCATGATTATAGGCCAATGTAGCAGTAGCATTCCTTATGAAAAAGTTCGTTCAAGGAAGTACTGCCACCTTATCTATTTCTGACGCCAAGCGGTAATGTGCGCATTAATGGCAGTGTCCCTCATATGTTTGTGGTTTAAAGCTCTAAGTGGTACTGTTACTATTATGGACAGGCGTGTCGCTTACCATCAGGCGCACGGCTTGTTCGTCCCGTCACTTAGTTATTATAAAAAAAACTATGATTATGAAATATAAATGGAACGCTGAATAATTTCATGCATTCTTGTTCAAACCACCTAAATACAACTACAAACATGTCTACTATATGATGTCATTTTTAAACACCGAGTGAGGGTATCATTTTTATAATACACGGTGGGGCGACCCGAGCAGTAAAATTCGAGTGCACCGCGAGATGATGCGAATGAGTGTGTGCAAGTACAAACACGCGCGCACACATACAAGCTGTGCTGCTACATTCATATGAAGTGTCACTACTTGTCTTATAATTCTATGCTAAGTACTTGTTTGTTACATGTTGCGAGGAACTTAATTCCACCCGTAAACGCAGTGTCAAAGTGCAAATCTCTTACATTCAGAGTTTGTACGGGGAAGTACTGCCACAATACCTATTTTTGCCGATGAGTAATTACTGTGTTCCAGTTTGGAAGGATATTGGTGAACCTTTAGGCACTTGAGACTTGTCAACTTTGTGTATGTGGGTGATGGATGCAGTGGCTATGTCTCTCAAGTCTTTGCGATTTACAACTCTGAGTGGCGCTGCAATTAAAACAAATCGTTCGCTCTTACTAATTTCACTTTACCTACCTAGACCCCGATTCAGAACTCTTCGATATCTTAACCGAATCATTCGATTGGATATCGTTCTCGAATCGAAGAGCGCTTTTCGAGCTATTTAGAACATTCGAGTTAAAACATTCGGTTCGGGGGGTCTACTCTGGATCTCCGTCGGACATCCGTCCTAAACAATTACTGCCAAATAAGCAATACTTGACCAAATGAAAAGACGCGTGATGCGAATGACGCTTCATACTTGATACTTGTCTTTTAATTTTGTCGAATATTACTTATTTGACAGTAATTGTTTCGGGCGGAGATCGAGAGTAGACCCCTGATTCAGATACGATATCGTTATCCAATAACGTTTACGGAGTTAGTCGGCGAGTATAGATTATAAGAAAAATGAAATCCTTTTAAATAACATTTTCAAGACTTAATGAAAATATAGGAATAAAACATAGGAAT